ATTTCTTACCAGTTATCACCAACAAAAATCGATATATTATAGTCACTATAGACTATTTAACCAAATGGACAGAAGTACGAGCAATCAAAGATGCATCAGCACAATCAATTATACCTTTTCTCTATGAAGATATAGTAATAAGACATGAATTTTCACGTGAATTACTAAGTGATCAAGATACTACTTTTGTCAATGAAATTATCAAAGAACTTTTGAAAAAATATCAAATCAAACATTAGTTATCTGTATTCTATTATTCTCAAATTAATAAACTTATTAAAAGATTAAATTGCACATTTTGCACTTCATTATCAAAATTCGTTCAACTCTATAAGAAAGATTGGGATCATTATCTACCATTAGTTTTGTTTACATATCAAATAATGAAGTAAGATATAACAAAATTTGAATTTTTTTAATTAGTTAATGATTATTAAGTCATCACATCACTCAAATTATAACTCAAAGATCTGGATAATAAAGAAATTTCAATGAAAGAAATCATTGTCAAGAGAGCATGCAAAATTATTGATAAATTGGAAGTAATACGTGAAACAGCTCTTAGCAATATTCAAAAAGTACAAATCAAGCAAAAAAAGCAGTATGACAAAAAGAAAATACCAATCTCATTTCAAATTGAACAAAATGTTTTAATAAAAAGAATAGAACTCAAAATTGGTATTACGAAAAATTTGATAAAAAATAGAAAAATCCCTTCTATATTTATAATATTTTTGATAAAGATGTATACAAACTTTATATATTAAATAGAAAAGTATTAAAGAACTCTTACAATAGTGATCATCTAAAGTTATATGTCGAATTCAACAAATTAGAACCAGTCATTATAATCAATAATAATTGATTTGTAGAGCAAATCTCTTAAAGTCAAGGGTTCTGTTATTGATTCAATATCAACAATAACTTAATATAAGAATATGTAAACAAAAGATGCAGTTATGATAAAAATTAGTCATAATGATATTTGGATTATGTAGTTAGTTCAATAATATTCTATTTCTTTCTATTTCTTTCTATTTTCTTCTTTTTCTTTTCCGTATTACTTATCTTTCTATATTTATTTCATTGTTATCTTTATTTAAATATATTAATTACATCATTTTCTTGGCAATTTTTATCATTTTCTATATTAGTTTAGTTTCTATTTGCTATTTTTTGCTATTGATACTTAGATTAGAACAAGATTATTAATTATAATGTAGTTAAATTTTATGTAATTTAGAAAAGAATCAGTAATTTCATAATATTAGTATAGATCTATTATGCTACATGCTATGTCATACTGCACATTACTGTGTCATACAGTGCCACTATAACATGAAAACATATATAAATACAAGTGTTGATAATTAAAAAAATCAAGTTCTTCAGTTTTGATTTTAAGTTCTTTAGTTGAGTTTAAGTTTTTTTGGTTCAGTTTAAATTTTTAAGTTTTAATTTTGAGTTTCTTTGATTTAATGTTGAGTTTGACATATTTTAATTGATTTTATTTTGGAATTTTAAATAGTTTTTGGTTATGTTTACCTTTAGTTTAGTTTTGTTATTAGTTTAGTCTTATTTTTGTCATCTTTTATCTTGTTAAGAAATATTATTTCATCATTATAAAACACTATTTAGTTATAATATTTAAAGTAAATTGCCATAAACACAGTCACTATTATCATTTTGAAATACTTTTATACGCAAAAGCTCAAAATGGTAACAATATTTAATTAATAAATTTTGATATTATTATATTATTTCTAATTAATACTATATAGTATTACCATTTTGAGCTTTTGCATATAAAAGTATTTCAAAATCACAATAATGATTATGTTCATAGTAATTTATTTTGAGTTTTATAACTAAATGATGTTTAATAATATTTCTTGACAAGATAAAGATAATAATAATAAAACTAAAACTAAACAAAAAGGAAACTTAACCAAAACTAATTTTAACTTCAAAATAAAATTAGTTTAACATGTCAAACTTGACATTAAACCAAAACTTAAGAACTTCAAACTAGAACTGGAAAACTTAAACTGAACTGAAAGAACTTCAAATAGAAACTAGAGAACTTGATTTTTATTAATTATTAGCACTTGTATTTATATATGTTTTCATGTTACAGTAACACAATATGATATAATAATACACAGTATGATACAATTATAGTGCAGAATATGACACAGTAAATTTATACTAATATTATAAAATTACTAGTTCTCTTCTAAATTATGTGAAATTTAACTATATCATAATTAATAATCTTGTTCTATATCTAAATACCAATAGCAAAAATAGAAAATAATAAATTTGCCAAGAAAATGATGTGATTAATATATTTAATGAAGATAACAATAAAATAAATATAGAAAAATAAGTAATATGAAAAAGAAAAAGAAGAAAATAGAAAGAGATAGAAAGAAATAGAATATTATCAAATTAAATATGTAATTTAATTATCATCATGAATAATTTTCAATATAACTGCATTTTTCATTTATGTATTTATATATTAAATTATTGATAATATTGAATCAGTGACAAGGCTCTCAACTTTAAGAGATTTGCTCCACAAATCAATTATTATTAATTATAATGACTGGTTTCAATTTGTTAAATTCAACATATAACTTTAGATAATTATCATTATAAGAGTTCTTTAATACTTTTCTATTCAATATACAAAGTTTGTATATGTCTTTATCAAAAATATTATAAATATAAAAAGAATCTTTTCATTTTTCATCAAATTTTTCATAATGTCAATTTTGAGTTTTTATTCTTTTTATGGTGCAAACAGTCTAAAGCCATCAAATAACTTTGAAGTGTAAAGGATTTTTATTTAAATATATAACCATTAAAAAAATATGTTATTAAATAGCCTTTGATATGTTTTATAATGTGATGTATTTTTTTTGTTCATTGTATTATAAAAATTATTTGTAGTTAGAATTTTTCTAATGTCAATTTTAATAGTAATGACCAGATTTTTAGTGCCTCCGGTATCACGTGCAAAAACATGATTGGCATATCTATTATCACGTGGCTGTATGTGATTGGCTAGATCACAACAAATAAATCGTATGTTCGTCATATTAATAGCACACATTATGACTGTCACAAAATCATGACCTAATTTAATTTTTTAAACTCTGATGTTGCTAGATTTTAATTTTTTGTTTTGATTATTTTTTTTTAATTATTTCATTTATTTTCATTTATTTTTTTTCATTTATTATTTTACACTAATTGATATTACCAAATTCTTTCAAAATATTTATAGGAATCTGACAATGAGACCGATATCGCTTCACTGCAAAAACAACCATCTTATCTGAAAGTTCAAGTTTGTAAGCACTCATGTAATGCGCAGAACGATGTGCAAATCAGCGAATTTTCATTAGACTAATGGAATCCAATGCATCTGGTACAACTTCCTTAAGACTCTTGAACGTATAATCGCAGTGGAGACGTGAATATCACTTTGTCTCTGCCTGGAATGACTCGATATAGTTAAGTTCACAGTGGAACTTTGGGTAAAACATACACATATGTCCTGTCACCTCAATAATCTAAAAAGATATTAGTTAAAATTATCACGAATAATTTTTACTAATTGCAACTTACCTCTTGTAGGTGTATCTTTTGTGATGCAAAATCAGGTTGAACAGAAAGAATACGTATTGTGCAACAGTTCAATTTAGTTGGATCAGAATTACGTTGCGTACATGCATCACATTTTCTTATCAAACCCAGTATCCACAAGTTACACTCCTCAAGAACTCGCTGAATACCTTTGGGTTTTACCATACCATCGACATCCGTAAATGTCATGATATGAGGTGAGCCATCAAGCTTTTTGCCATTACAGAGGAGCAGTTATTTGCCACCATTCTTCATGTTCATTCTTGAAATCACTAATGCATCATCAGCAAATGCATTGTGATTGCTGCTGTTATCGAACAAGAACAATGCAACTTTTCCTGGATGAGTTTGGAATAGCACGTTCTTTTACCTGTTTAACGACATCTTTATTTGTTCACCAGCCATCATGATTCGTACCTGGATACATGATGATGCAGACTTCAATGTACACATGCCACTCATCATTAGGAAGTGAATCGTTAATGGCACATTCCTTTTCTGAAAGCCGGAGACGTCCAACAGATTCACAAACAAAGTCACTTATGTGAATACTAAAATTCTGCAACTTGCGATGAAGCTGACTCTCATTTTTTGGACCCCATGCCTTGACAACACCATTATTGACATAAAAGATTGACTCATCATGAGTAATGGGAATGATCTCAGGAAAAAGTATAGGTGGAATAATCTAATCTAAATTGTCACCCTCATAAGTAGCTATTTGTCTTTGTAATTCTGCTCATTACTGCAAAAATCGATGTCTATCCACTATTACGTCTTCACGCTCATGACTGTCAAAATAGATATTCTTTGAATGATCTTTATATTTTTAGCTGAGCACATGTAACCATTCACGTGTAGTTGTATGTGAGATCGTTGTCTTTTCTTCTATTCCAAGAGCAGGGATAGTCTCATCCTCAACGAATTTTACAAATTCAGCAATCTTTAACGTGAACTTGTGTGCGCGCAAATATTGAGTAACTCATAATTTGAGATCTTTATGAAGAAGGAGAGATCTGATTTTTGCATGGCAGTCACGTTTAGATGTAATAATCATACTATTATTTAGCCACTGGTTCATCCAAGAGCAAATAAGCTGTGCATGCCATGGATCTTTGTTCAAGCTCTGGGCAAGAAATTTACTTGCATTCATCTTGGTGAATCTCTCCTGAACTAGATAGAGAAATTGACTTATTGTTCAAAGTCGCAAATCATTACTCTTTTTTTTAATAATAAATCCAGAGATTCTAATGTAAATTCATTATTATCATCATCGTTGCTATTGTATGTGTCATCGAATGTAAGATCGTAACTCTTTGTATTGAGCTCGGCAACTTCTCTCATTAGAAACATATCAATGATCTTTTTAGAACCTGAAACTGTCTTTTGCCAATATGCTCTCTTGTTGCACAATATCGATTGTGCAGCTCTCTTATATATTGATCAACGTGAGTTTGTAGTCCATACATCTGACTTTTTGCATTTTCAACTAGTTGTTCTAGCACATTAGGTTGCAATGCTTGCAATTGATCCATAATTTCATCACTATCCAAGCAGTTTTCCTCACCTTCTATCCAAAAAGTACTAAAACATTCATTATACTTATCAGGTTTAGCATCTGATGGTTCAGAACTTTCAGCTTGTTTCCAACGTTTCCTAATAGCTTCCTGAGCCAGTCTTGCGTGTTTACTTCATTTCAGCATTGAAACTGTTAAATCTGGATAGTATTATTACAAGTTTGTTCACTAATCATTAAATTAGCTTACAAACAAGAATCTGGATTGAAAGAGGGTATAAACTGATAAAGAAAATATTAAGAAGAAAAGAGAGGTATCTAAGGTCTATGCCAATTTCTATGGAAATTGTGTTTACTTGAAAAGGAATAATAATGTGGAAGAGTTGTGGGAGAGTAAAGGTCAAAGAGGAGAGAGAAT